GGGGGGGGGGGGGGGGGGGTGTCTCTAAGGAAATCTGTTGTACAGTCCGCCCGCCAGTATGACGTCATGTCTCGCGTCAGAGACTTTCAAAATGGCGAGCAAAGTGTTCATCGAGGAGACAGATAAAAATTTCGATTTTATCACGGAAATACTGTTCCGATTTCTTGGATTTGGAGATTTTAAGGGTTCTATTGTCATAGAAAACTATAGACTTAAGTACCTTTTTGGAATGGAGTGTCGTATCGTCGACAGTATCGTCGAGCAAATTTTCCCGGCAATAATATAGCCTGCGTAGCAAGCGTTTCCGTTAGGTCTCGGAGCAAAGAAAGACCGAGGAACGGGATTCTCGGTTTTGGCCGGGCTAGAAATGAAACAAGAGCCAAAAAGTGAAAGTGGGGGGAGGGGGAGGGGAAGGAAGGAAACGCTTGCAGACAAACTCCTCTATTTGGAAATTATCTCCTTAATCCCCTCTCCGTTTTTCCTCCTTTCCCCTCGTTGTTAAACCCCTACCATGCAGGCTATTGGTCAATTCTATTTGCATTTATATGCGTCAAAATATACGTTAGCGTAGCAACCGGTTTCTGACGGCGATGTTTTGCAAACTTGCGTTCTTGAAGACTCGATTTATTTTTAGATTTAGGCGGTTGTTGTTCTGGGAGGCCTGGCATTAGCAAATTATGCTGTATAAGTCCATCTCTTTTTTAATATCGCAAAAACGTTCTTGGGATCCAGTTAACTCAAGAATTAATGCAATGTATTATTCCAACAGTGAAAACGAAAAGAAACCTACAAGTTTGGATTACTTGAGCGCTTAATTCCTGCTTGCCTTTTTAACTTCAAAATGATAATGATTACAAAATAATCATAATGTTTTGTTTTTTTAAATTCCGCGCGCTTTTATAATGGCAATTGAACTGAGTGGAGTGCAATCCGGTCTGAAATCATACGAGTAATATCCAAATCGGATTAGCACACAGCAAGTATGTATGATTTCAGACCAAAATAATACGACACGAAGTTCAATTTTTACTTTATTACAGCTACTTGGAAATCGCAATATTTTATTGATCAAGTAGCTGGTTCGGTTGAAAAGCGAAGACCGATAAATTTATAACTTAATAACGTACATATAAAAAAACTACTAACTGTGAGAAAAATATTTAATGCAGTTTACAAGTCATATGTCAGTGCGCATATGCTGTGATATAATATCGTTTGCCGTACAAAAGCGATTGTCTACACTTCAGCTTCTTCAGGCTCATCTGTCCCCTCGGGTTCCTCTGTTTCCTCCGGTTCCTCTGTTTCCTCCGGTTCCTCTGTCTCCTCCGGTTCCTCTGTTTCTTCCTCGGGTTCTTCAGTTTCTCTCTCGGGTTCTTCGGTTTCCTCTGGTTCTTATATTTGTACGTGGTAATAAAAGAAAAAAAACGAAGGAATGTAAAAAAAGAAATAAGTGCATGTCTAATTAACACTAGTGATATTCATCGCAAATGGGTAACGTGGCAGTGAGGAAAATTAATAGCATAGGCAAGCATTATTACCATTATTGTATGCATGTATTTTACACTTTACTTCAACCAAAGATTCGTCTTTTAGAATTTGCGAGTTTTAATGCCATTGAATTCTTAATGAATCATTTATCTTGTTATTTCTATTAACGTAATACAATATTAAGGACCAGGGTCACCTTAAAACATAAATGCCAAAAGTGATATACTTGAATAAAAAATAAATAAATAAAAGTTTATTATTCACATTACGTCGTTATTGACTTGGCAGCAAAGAGGGGTTACTGAGACAACAATTTAGTGATTTAAACGTTTTCCTTGTTGTTGTTGTTGTTGTTGGTGGTAGTATTAGATCCTATACGATTACTTGCTAAGACCCTACTGGAACTGTCTTACGAAAATGTTGCTCTTAGTGAATCATGCATGAAGTCGGTCTTCCATCCTGGAATTTGACTCAAAACACCGGAATGCCACTTTCAGAAATAGTGAATAAACTACCTTCCTCTTGTTTTATATTTCATTTTCATTTTCTTTTGTTTTAAAATAAATTTATGTTAAGTTTTAGTTACAATGTATCAAAGTTTTAACGAATAAAAACAGGTCAACGACAATCACATATTCAATTATCACATGTCGTAATTTTTAACATACAGGATGAACATCGTATCTGTGATCACTCGTAAAAGGATGCTGCCATAAAGTTCTTGATATAAAAAAAAAAAAAAAATTCACAGTCATTTTGGGCGAAGCAAATCCAATTTGCAAGTTTAAAACACCTGTTAGTAAGGGGAGATAATTATGTTTGGACACAAACGTTACGCCACATGCGTCGACGCTTGTCATTTGAAACGCAAAAGTAAAAGTAAAAAAACTTTTAAGCATGTCAAGACCGAAACATGAATATAAACGAGGAAAAAGCCTTAAATTTTGATGACACGAAATAGCTAAGACCAAGCTCGGAGTATATAGATGGACGTATAAAACAAGCTACATACGTGCTTATGAAATCATTGTGCATAAAATAAATGAGAAGAAAAGAACCACCTACCTTGTTGACGGAAGCCCTCCAGCTGACCCACCAAGAAAACAAGACAAAAAAGAAAAAACAATTTGAAATTCATCTTGGCTTATTCAACCTTCCTCTCAGAATGCTGTTTGGCTTAATGAAATTTTCACTTTCACTGAGCAATTTATAGAAGAGGACGATACTATCTTTGTCAATATTAGCTTAAAATCTGAATATTGGGCTTGAGAAAAAACTACACGAAGATTGCAATGAAACGATAACGATTTACGTTTATGTTTTTTTGTTCTGCGTAATTTTGAAATTTTTGGTTGTTCTTGTGGATAGTTCCTTCTTTTATCTCTCTTCACCAGTATTAGATTGCTGTATCTGGCTAACCCACTAAACATGTCTTTGTTTGCCTGGGATCGTTTTAAAAGAAAAAATATTGTCGATAATGCATCTGGATAAAATGGCTAATTATGGAAATAATGATATGTATGAATATGAAATGAGTATTTTTAATAAAACAAGTACATTTCAAAGTAATTATTTAAAGTTCTTTTTCTTTTCATGATAAAGTTCGTCACAACAGAGGACTTGCAGGATCAATCCATGCTCTTTGGATTTGATACTAAGTCAGTTCTGATTAACCATGTAAAGGAATTTGACTCGATTTTACACATTTTACACAGGTGACTTCTAGTAATGTCATTAAAAATATCGCGTCATATTTACTCTAAGACTGCATTGCCAATGCTAATATAAAAAAAAAAACATGGCATCACGTGTTGCGTGGAAACGTTGCTGTAAATTCTGGCAAATATATAACTCGTGACCTCATTAGTTATTTAACTTAAAGGATCCTCTAGGCTGCGTTTTCAGCCTGCCTAGCTTTCTTTTGAAAACGGAAGACACACTTTGATAAATTTTGGTTAATGATAACTTACTTAAATGTTTAATTACGGCCCAAAATTGAGTAAGACAACATGGGCCAAAAAAAAACTAGTTACATAATGTATCTGTGAGCCATTACTGCTTATTATCAAGTCAAAAAGTTTGGAAGCACGTTGAAAAAATATCATGAGAAAGGCAACAGAGCGGCGAAGACTACTAGAATAATTCAGCGTCGAAGTCTGCCCCTGAACGTTTCAATTGACTCTTAATCGTTTTGTAGTTCGATTCTGCATTTATTTGACTACTATGACATCGTCAGTTAGGTGACAAAAAGCAATACCAAATTAACGAACGATTCCTCTCGTCCAGCTGAACGCGGCAACAAAAAACATCCTCGCCATATCGAAAAGGCCTGGCTAGGCGTTTTGGGTATTCGTAGTCTTTTTCATTCACCTTTATACGGTATTTTGGCGTTACAATATATGAGTTTTTTTTTTCTAAATTTTTGGTGTTTGGTATTTAGACACGAATTTATATAGATATTTTGATTTAAGAATGTCGTTGGCAAAGTGATCGAAATGTGTTCAACAGAAGTTCGCCAGGGGTTGGGACTGGATAGGGAAGAATAAACCTCGTGACCGACAGAAGTGCACCAAAAAGTTATAAAGACGAACCCGCTTTACGGGCACAGCTTAATAGAGACAGTGGACGCGTTTTTCCTCGCCAATCAACAGATTCACAAAAAGTCAACCTCGTTAATGCGGACACTTCATTGTCAACTGTGTGCTGTAATAAACCTTTCTTTTTTGATGGTTAAAAAACTTAAGTGACAGAATTTCGATGATCCCAACGCTCAAAAAAGAGACAGGATGAATTGAAGACGTCAATTTTATACTATTTGGCATCAGACGAGTTATGCAGGGAACTTTGCGTATAAATGAGGGACTTTTGAGTGTTTAAGATCATAGTCTGCAGAATGACGGGTTTTTTCAAGGTTAGAGATCTTTATTGGACAATGCTAAGTGTCCCGTTCTATTTATTTAGTATTTTTGTTAGAATAAAAAGTGTGCTTTTGATTAGCAGACTTTCTAACCATCCCAATACCCCAATATGCGATCGAGATTTCAAAAATCCCGATTTTGACATGTGTGCTTAATCTCGATAATTTCGTCCAAATCTTATAATACTTATACCAGAAAACCAAATAGAGTGTAATCATCTGAAACTGATATTCTAAAGCTTCCATAAATATAACATGTATCGAGCACTTTTCCGCGAAGCCACGCAAAGTGACAAAGAGACGGAAGGGTTCTTAGCTACATCTCCCATCTTCAAGGGCCTTCTAAATGCGTGGTTACTCCGATCGCGTACATGAGATACTGTTCTTCCAGTTCGAGTGGCTTTCAGTGTGTCAAAATATCGGAAAATATCTTCTGGTGTTTTCCACATGTTATGAAAAAGAAGAAAAGTTATAAATGAGTCGTCTAAGCCCAAGAGAAAGCGGTTCGAGCGTCAATTTCAATCTGCACGGAAGTCACAAATATTTCCATTATTCACAGTCCCTCCCTGCAAAAGTCAGTTTTGTCACTATCTAGTGTTGTAAACATACATAATAATGACGATCAATTTACCAAACATTTTTGATTTTAATTGTTTCCTCTGAGAACACTAGAAATGGTGTTTTGGAGCTTCAACATTTCAAAACTTACTGAGGGAGCGTGCCCCCATACCCCCTTGTGGCTCGAGACCTCGACGCCGCGTCATTTATAGTCTATAATTAAACAATATCCCAATTTCACCTAAAATGGTTGGACAGTCTGGAGTCTCAATAAACAGCTGACAAACCATTTTTAGGTCTCCTAACTTCAAAAAACATAAATTAATAATATCTGCACCTACCATCAATATTTATATTTCTTTCACCACAAAGAAAGCAAAAAACAACAAAAACAAAAACAAAAACAAAACAAAAAAAAGGGTAAGAGTTAATTACAGATAATACTAAGTACAGTAATATATGGAATTAGCACTGCTGTAATCTAGTTTAATATTTGTAAGTATTGCCATGTAAGTGTGTAAATTCGCTATTTGTTTGTTGTCTTGTTTTTTTTTTTGTTTTCTTTTTATTACTTTATTTATTCTGTGTATTTTTTTTTTGTATGTCTTTTACTTGCAATAAAAAAAAAAAGGTATATGTTATTCTGTTTAAAGACAATTTCAGGTATTCGGTATCAAAGATTTTACAGTTTTAAGGTATATTGGTATCTTACGAGGAAAAACTCGGGTATATTGGTATCCCATCATCCCCTTGGCCGGGCTTAAAATCTTTAAAAAGACTTTTCATTTGAAGATGTAAAAATTATATCTTTGAGGTAGTGGCTTTGATGGTTGGCGGTTATTTGTTTTAAAGTTTGACGGTTGACGGTTAAATAATTATTAGAAGATAAGAACGTTGTCCGCCAAAATAACGGATTCTCCACCAAAATATACAGGGGTGTGTTCGAGCAACTTGCTCGCTACACGATGAGAAACCAGGAATCTGATTTACATCTTAATGCCTTTATTCTTCTTCGACTTCTGCTAACAATCTCAATCTTCTTACTCTTCTAACTCTTTCACTTACTCACCAACTTTCTTCTACTAACTTCTAGTGCTTAGTTCGAGCAGAGTAGCGTTTTTTTTTTTGCCAAAGCTGGACATGTTTGGGTTAANATAATAAAAAAATAAAAAATAAAAAAAAATAGAAAAAACAAATATATAATAATAATTTAAAATTTGTAAAAAATGGAAAAAAAAATTTAAAAATTCCATTTTTTTTTTTGTTTTTTTTTTTTTTTTGTTTTTTTTTTATTTCTTTATTTATTTTTTTTTTTTTTTTTTTGTTTGTCTTTTACTTGGAATAAAAAAAAAAAGGTATATGTTATTCTGTTTAAAGACAATTTCAGGTATTCGGTATCAAAGATTTTACAGTTTTAAGGTATATTGGTATCTTACGAGGAAAAACTCGGGTATATTGGTATCCCATCATCCCCTTGGCCGGGCTTAAAATCTTTAAAAAGACTTTTCATTTGAAGATGTAAAAATTATATCTTTGAGGTAGTGGCTTTGATGGTTGGCGGTTATTTGTTTTAAAGTTTGACGGTTGACGGTTAAATAATTATTAGAAGATAAGAACGTTGTCCGCCAAAATAACGGATTCTCCACCAAAATATACAGGGGTGTGTTCGAGCAACTTGCTCGCTACACGATGAGAAACCAGGAATCTGATTTTCATCTTAATGCCTTTATTCTTCTTCGACTTCTGCTAACAATCTCAATCTTCTTACTCTTCTAACTCTTTCACTTACTCACCAACTTTCTTCTACTAACTTCTAGTGCTTAGTTCGAGCAGAGTAGCGTTTTTTTTTTTGCCAAAGCTGGACATGTTTGGGTTAACTGACCGTGGGAATAAAATTACGATGAAATCGGTGTGGGTAATGTTTTGGTATGATAGAACCTATATGGTTGTGTTCGGCAAGAGTTCACAAACCACTGAAAAACTAAAACTCTGGTTAACAAACCCAAACCGGAACTTTCACGAGACTGGTAAACCAAGGTCAGCTCTAACATACCAAACTCGACCACTTATGAAAAACTAAAATCTGACAACGACAAGCGAAGTATATTCCTAAAATATCGATAAGTAAATTCGCGAGCTAAGCATAAATTCAAGTACAAGGAAAAGCAAAAGATCAAAACAGGAAAATAAATACGTGGTCAAAAATCAAGACTAACCTTGACCCACTTGATGAAACAAAACTAAACTTAAAAGATAAATCCGTCTTGAAAAAACCTTTCTAAATACTTCACAACATACCTCCCCCCTTAGAAAAAGCATCGTCCTCGATGCAATAGGACGTAATATATATAAATTAGAAATAAGGGAGCGAACACAACTAGTTAAGTGCTGTTAGAAAACGAGCAGAAATTTCTAAGCTATAACGCCTTCATAGATAAATATAGCATCAAAACCAACTATGTCGAATATCACAAAGTGATATCTACTGTAGCACATTACAAGAAAGTACACTCTACAGCCTATCCTGACCCAACTCCAAAGGATCCAGTTGATACCCTTCTGTCTCACACCAAAGTTTCCAAGAAAATTTATGAATGTCTAATAAACGAAAAAGCTTCTATACCATCAAAGAGTCAGGGAAAGTGGTTGGAAGAGAGAGACAT